ACTGTGGGCAAAAATTCGAAAGACTTTTTAATAGAAATATTTTATATCTATATTTTTTACATCTGCCATATATCACATTAAAGTACATTCGGCGATTTTTAAGTTTTAATTTAATTTAAGAGAAATTCCATTAAATTTTGTATTTTGTTTGTTTATTTGTCAAATTTCTGATGYCGAATCTTTCAGAATCTTAGAAAAAATCTTCGGTACACATTTTTTGTCGCTAGYACGTGTTTTTGATACAAATTATTCAAAGAGAGTCGCGAACATGTTGATGATGAACCACGTTCAGGAAGGCCAACAACATCTACTGATGATCAACATGTCAATAAAATAAAAGTATTGGTGCTTGAGGATCGACAATTATCAGTTTGAGATCTTACGGGCATCGTTGGAATGTCGGAAGGATCACTAAAAACCATTTTGAAAGAACGGTTGAGAATAAGAAAAGTGAAAGCACGATTAATACCAAAATCACTAACTTTTTTCGTAAAACAGCTTCTGTGAAACAATGCTTTCCGACTAACAAGATATCACGTATTATTACTGGCGATGAGTGTTGGATCTATGCTTACGACCCGGAAACAGATGATCAAGCGTCCAAATATCGTGCCAAAGGTGAGTCGAAGCCGGAGAAAACATGTCAATGCAGGTGAAAAATCAAGGTTATGTTGGAAGTATTCTTTGATTATGGCGGTGTTGTGCTCTCATTCCTTCCGGCCGACCAAACTTTCAGTAAGGAATAYTAGTTGAGTGTTAAGCGTCGTTTGCGCATAGCTATTCGTAAAACGACGCYGGAATTATGAGCCAAGAACTCTTGGTTATATAATAATTCACCGTCGCATACTGCATTGATACTTCGTGAATTTTTCGAATTATCAACCAACGTATTCGCCTGATTTAGCTTATTGTGACTTCTGGCTATACATTAAACTCAAACGACCGCTTCAGGGGTACTATTTTGAGTCAATTGAAGGCACTAAACGTGAAGGCTATTTCAGAAAACGTTGACACAAGTGTATTGGTATGCAGGGAGATTACGTTGAGGGGGACGACATAGATTTAAARGAATAAATTAAGGCTTTTAATTATAATATTGATAATTTTATTATCAACAAAGTCTTATTATTTTTCGTCCACAGAGTATGTGTATTTTTGTGGAACTAAGGAAACACTTAGAAAATTGAAA